AATTCGGATCCACTATCACATTCTCAATAATTTTGGGAAGAATTTCAAAAATGAATTTAAAGTTGGTGATGTATATTTATTCAGATTTGGTTTTGGATCGACATATTCAAGTTGAAAAAATAAATCTAGGTAATTTGACAATAAAAATTTTTTTATATTATTAACGCAGATGGTATATCGTGAATTTTATCGTAATTTTAAATAAACTTTATATCCCGCCGAAATGTCAAAATACAAAAATTAAAAATAAATTCATAGTTAAGTTTAAAAAAATACATGAAGAATTATAGATAAAGTAAAAAAGTAATCATTCTAATAAGCTTAAAACGATAAATTAAACCGGTTGGTCGATCAATTGCTCCGTTAAATGGGCCCATGACCGACCGTTACCATCCCATATATCAAGCTAGTTTAAAGTGATAAAGTGATATTTGGAATTCTGATTATAATACAAAAAGTTTATTATTTAAGAAGTTTCAATTAGATAAAATGTATTTAGATATAAAGATTCTAATGAATCTATTTGATGAGTAAAAAAGAAGACAAGTAAGTAGATTGAAAAAGCAATCTAACAAAATAAAGTTATTTTGAATTTAATTCTCAAAATATTATTGTATTTTAATTAAAAGTATAAAATTTTTAATATTGTTTTCATTAATTATAAGAGAAAGACAACATAAAGAAAAGAAAATTATTGTTTTAAAAAACAAAATTAATTCTTTAAAAATTTTTCCTAGGATTTATTTGATTGTAATTTATAAGTTTTTTCATCATGATACAATTTAATAAAAGTGCTAAATCCTTGTAAAGATAAAGCATATCTGTAATCCATATTTTTTAAATAAATTCAAAGTTGTTTTTATGTTATATAGAATGAAAAGTGTTGAAACTTTTTGATTTAAATACGTTGTTGTATTTTGAATCATATGCTACATGAATTCATTATGGATGGACAAGTCCGATGGAGAATTTTATTGGTTAATTATTTCTATGCATTTGTAGGCAAAAGTATGAATTTTTGTTATATAAATCATTTTATCCATGCATTATGAAACGCAATTAAAAAATCAATTGAATGTGTAGAAATATAAAGAATTTATTCTTTATAACGTTAAAAAATATTTAGTGTTAAGGCAGATAAAATACCAAATACGAGTCAACACTTGAATTAGGAATAACTCGAGTTAGAGTTATATTGTGTCGAGTTAACTCAAAATATTAACTCGAATTCTGACTCGCGTTGATCATTCGTAAGGATCTTTTTGTAATTAAGATCTTTGATCAGAAGATGTGCTAGATAATCAAATAAAAATGCATGCGGTTAATTGATGTAATGTTATGATCGGCAGCATTAAAGTATACAAATACTCGGGGGTATCAATTTCCGGAGTTTAATATATGAAGAACCCCCGACAATATTGCATATATCAAAGCATAACCCATCTCAACTTTCATTGAATGCCAAAATGGGAAAATCTTTCATGCTAACCTTTTATGAAATATTTTGAAAGTGAGATTTATATCACATGGCAAGCCTTCATATACCAAATCACAAAAATTTTAACATAAATAATGGTTGTAACAAGCGGAAGTAGCAAAAACTTAAAAAATGGCGACTGTAACTGAAACAAATCACGTCAATTCATCGATAAAATTGGTAAAGCGAACGGCTTCTTTACATTTTTCTTTTCAATTCTTTTTCTCTTTAATTTTTTCTGCGCTCACCTTACTTTTTTGATTATTCCTTCTCTCACTTTTTTCTGATGCGTAAAGTCTGCTGGTAGCGAGAGTAATCTACAAATTATTCCTTCACATCCTATCAACCAGAATAGGGAAGACAATCGACATGTTTGTCGATGTTCAGATCAATTACAAGTTCAGGAATCGACATTAAAAGTAAATGATTTGTCTGACAACAAAGATATCAGTGAAACAATTGCGAGAAATTTATTGTTTACCAGTGAGGAAAAATTTCAAAGCGAACTCGATGAATTATTTTCAAACGACAAAATGCCTTTCGAAGAGAATCACATCAAGATTGAAACAAAGAATATTATTAAACGTTCAAAAAGAGATTTCTGCAAACATTTATCAAAGTCCAAATATCCAGTAAAAATAGCTGATGACATTATCAAAACGTTTACTGACAAAATTCATTCCTACGCCGATGATTTAATATGTACCAACGAATTAAGCCTAAACAATGCCAAGGAAAATTACAAGCAAACATGTGAACAGCTAATGGCAGAATACGTTGTGCGTTGTAATGATAGTCTTCATGGGGAGCCTGAACCGTTTGATATAATCACTTCCAAGTGCAGAGATGATATAATGAGAGAGTATGATCAAAATATTGTAAGATTTCCGAAATTCATCATTCGTGATAACCGATACATTTTCCGAGTTACTGTAAGTTCCAAATTTTGTGTTGATTTGTATGCGCGTTTACACGATCTAATTCTTAAGAATTTGGTTTGTCTTTTCACTAGCTGATTTCCAGGGACAAAGAATTCCGTAATCAATATGACGCGTACTTAAAATCATACATGGATGACTTCAAAAAGAATGTCGATGAAATATATGATAACGTTTTTCATGAATATAAACTCAAAGTCAATGTCAAATTACCGAATATACCAATGTCAGAAGTAGAGTTAGACTGTAAGCAAATCGTAATTTTATTGATTCATACGGCATAAATTCGCTTCGACTAATCAACATATATTTTCATATCCAAAGCATTACTATACGATAACAAGGTCAAATGCCATTCGAAATTTGATTCCAAAACTGCAGATCTTTCCGGTAAAAGAAGGGCTTCAGAAGCTTATGTCCAACAACGGAAGAACGTCCTCGTGAATAGTATCAACGCGGAACAAGAATACATGATCAGTTACAACAAAGAATCTTCAAACGAATGTTGTAACAAGCTATGGGACGAAAAGGTCGAATTTATACGTGAAAAAGTAAAGAAGGGGGACTACGATGCACTGGACAAATTTCAAAAAGATCTCAATACTTTCGATAATAGCTATCGTCTTGCAGCAAGTGGACCTGCTATTGATATCGTTTGGAACAAACGATTAAAGGAGATAGAATCTTGGGAGGCCAATGTCAGGAGATCCATTAAATCATTACTTCATAATGGCAAAGATATTGAAATAATTTGCCATGAAATTATGAAATCAACACTTACTCTCGTTGATCAGTTGGCCGAATATTTAGGGTTAGCATGGGCTGGTATGGATTTAATTTTATTGCGATATTGAATGGAATAAATTTGCATACCAGTTAAATTGACAACCTTTAATTTCCCTAATAGGAACTGGCCAGTACAGGCGTACAGCTAAAGGTTATATGTGGGTAAGCACCAGGAAGGATGTGAAGCGCAAGGACTATTTACCATCTTATGAACTCTATGATATCAAGACCAACTTCAAAAATTTGATAACATCCGACCCGATTATAGAATACGTCAGCCCGCGTCAAGTCAATACTACGATTTATGGACCTTACCCTACAGAGTATGGATCTTTATGATGCTCACATGTTAATCTGAATTATGCGCTTATAATAATATATTTATTTTTTTTTATTCAGGCAAACTATAACCAGGAAAGTTGATTACGCAGTAACTGAGCAATTGATTTGGGAGTCAAGTAAGAAGTTCACTTTCAACCAAGAGGCTTTGGCCTCCTATAAGCAAGGCGTCAAGGACATATGGGAAGCATTAATTAGTCTCAAATTTGGGTTTTCGCAAGAGTTGTTTAAAAAAGATGGTGGGACAAAAACGCTAACTAGAACTGAATCAAGCACAAATCAAATTAACATTCCAGCTGGAAAGAGGTAATTATCAAATCTTGTATTTCTGATTGACTGTACCAAACTCGTGTGAAGCCAAACTTTTACATTAATTCGAATAGGGTTGAGGTTACTTCAATTATCCACGATCAATCAGTTACCATTAATTATATTGCAACTTTTGTTGTTTCTACAAGTTTAAGGATGCGTGGTATCTTGTTGTGGGGATCTGATAGCCCGGAGAAAAATTATCACAAAGATTTCCAAGAAAGAGGCTCTGGAAGTCATTGGAGACACGATTTTGGAGACATTACCGAAATCTATAATCAAATGATGCAAACCAGGTAAAGACAAATGCATCTTCAGTAATTTTTGTTGTTAATCTCCTGCATCATTTTAATATATTGAAATTTGCAGAGAACCATGGCTTTGGGATGAGTGCAAACGCGACCATCCCCAACTTACTTCCGTATTGGAACAACTTAAAGACCCCCAAAAATATGAATTTATAGTTTCCGGAAAATTTAATGGAGTTAATGGGGTCAGAGTAGAAGATAAAATTAAGATCTTGAGTTAAAAAGAAATGATGCATAGTAATTTGATATTTTTAATTATGGTGTGAAGTTTGGAGTACGAATTTTTTGAGATTTGGTAAAAGCATTCCTTATTAAATAAATTTTATTTTTACTCACACTTCAGTAAAAGTAAAAAAGGGGCGGATCCAATAAAATTATATTTTGTGTAACATAATTTTTCAGTATAAACGTCCAATACTTGTTTTCAACCAATGTGAATATTTTTATCAATATTGGGTTCTATAGCGCAATGCTTTTAGTTAAATATTCATAAAAACAGTTAATTTTTCTCGTTTAAATCACAACAATTTTTTAAAGAAATAAATTAATTTAACCAAAGTATCGTATTTTAGTATTTCTATACCTACCGAACTATATTAACACAGTTTCACTTGGTTATATAAGGTAGAAAATTCACCCTAACAAAATGAATATTAAACAAACATACTCGAATAAAATTTAAGATGTTAGCTATTTTGATAACTGTTTATTAGCTTACTTAATTGCAAAAAAGTTATTGTTTATAAAGCGACCTGAATTTTCGATAAAATTTCGATTTATATTTTGGAAAAAATATAACAGAAAATTTTTAAAATACTATATAAAAAATGGGTGTAGCTGATGTCAAATAATTTTTAAATTTTTCAATTGAAGATCATCGATTTCAAGGCGTAATTCTACATTAGCAGCGTGAAGTTCTTGAATTTTAATATCCTTATCAGACAGTTGTTCTTGCTGAAATTTTATCATCGATTGAAGCCGTTCGTTTTCTTCTTTAAGGAAAACTACAAAGAATTACCAAAAGAGTTGCTTAGTTGCACTCAACTAAGTCATAGTTATTCAATCTCATTCAAACGATAAACAAATTCCACTAATTTTGAAAGAAAGAAGTTAAGGAATAATTATTAGAAAAATTTGCAATAATTTCAGCATTAATAAAATTTTAGCCAACCGAAGAAAATTTGGAGAAAATTCTAAAGCGACATGGGAAATTTTTTTTTTTTTTTTTGTAAAACAAACTGGAAATAATTGATTGGATAAAAATTATGCAATGCAATTTTGGATTTCTTTTAAAAATAACATAAAACTTATTGTATAAAAATGCTATTATATATCAATAAAATTATTCTTCATACTGTTTTTGTTCATACTAGCAAAGCGAGACAACCCACCAACCACCGGATTATTTACTCGCGTCATCACTAGGGATAGTGATCGTCACAAAATTTATCCTTCTATTTGTATAAATGCTCAATTTTTAATTACTTAAGCAGAACCCGAAACGGAACCCCTAGTCATCACTTATTTAAAAAAAGTTATAAAAAACTTCACAAATAACACGAAAAGAGGTCCTCTGAATAATGTGAACTTATTATAATGATTATTTTAATCCTTTTTTTTTTTATAGATGTATTTTTCGCGATCAAATAAATCAAAGAATATTAAATTATTATTTTCCAATACGACAAATTAGTGTATGGAATAAGTTCAATTTGCAACTAGATTGCTTCAATGAAATCACATATAGAAGCTGATGCGGAGTCGGCAATCATAATGGAATAATTTCAAGAAATAGATTTGTCATAATTCTTATCTTAAAATTTGCTCAGCGTAAGCAGGACGTGTGATACTCTTAATTCTTTTTCAAAATATGTTAAATTTTGCGTAGCAAATTTTCCGTATATGACAGTGTGTTAGACTGAAGAGTCATGAATTTTAACTTTTTATTTTATTTCTTGCTTTTTATATAAACTCTTGTTTGCAATCATAATACGTCATATACCGTCTTTGAAAATAAGATTTTCTTTTCTCCAAAGGCTAAAACCTTTCTTTTTAAATGTTGCAATTTTTTATTTTTTTTTTATTTTTATAACTATCGGTAAAAAAAAAATCGACTGGTAATAGTCATCGACCACGTGACCTTTCAAATCCAATTAATATTATGACAAATCTCAATGGCAAAGTCGAAACCTTATGTTTCGCATTCGACTTTCGACAAGTTTCTACATAAATTTTCAACAAAATTTATAGATTTATTATAGTTCGACCATTATAGTTTCGACGGTGCCGTCGAAACCAAAAAGGTTTTAGCGAGTGGCTTAAATTGTTTCCCAGGTCTCGCTACGCACTTACTAAGTCACTAAAAATATTTTCGATTTTTTGGTAGAATTGATTCCAATTCTTATTTTTATATGATATTATGTATATGGAAATGATTTTTAAAGAAAAGTTCAGTAAATCCAGAGTTCGTTCGTTATATCGAGATCAGACTGTATAAGGTTTCCTACGTAGAGAAATTCCTAATTACCGGCACCTATTTCAGAGGAAGATATTAACTGTTTGTATTTCAAATTTATTTACCCGAGAAAATGCTAAGTTTGATTTAAATTAGTGAGATCTTTTTATTAACAAAAAAAAAAAAAAAAATGAACGAGAAGGGTTGTTTAAGGTGGAAAAGAAAGACAAATTTATTTAAAGTTCAGCCCACAATCATTTTTAGAATGTTTAAAAGGAGGCGAATTGTGAAAGAAATATAGCTAGATCATCAATCGAGAATTTTCTTTGAACGTCCAAAATAAAGTATCAATAAACTATTTATATATCGACTTAAATTCATATTACTAATATAAATTATCAAAAAAAATTTTCATCTAATAGATTAGATTTAAAATCTTGTGTAACAAGTAAGTACATATGTTATGTTGTACATATTTTCCGGAGTTTGATTTCCTATCTTTTTGCGTGGGTATTACAAAACATAACATGTAAAGTTTGTATACCTTTGTACGCAATACCAATTACTCAACTCACGAAAGTAAAACTTGAAATTCTCGAACGTCGATCATAGTAAAAGGTCTTTAAAAATATAATTTTGAATTGTTGAGTAATTTTGAAAGATTATTGAAACAGATTTAAAATTTAAAATTATTCAAATTATTTCTGTATATCGGTCATCGTTATACAAATAATGATGCGAAATTCGACTAATCATCAAGGATTTGTAATTGCTCAAATTCGATTAATATAAAAGTCAAATTAACCATAATTTTAAACTTTTTATTCGACAGAACGAAATTCGCTTGGTTATCACTTAAAATATCTTTGGAAAATCATCAATTATAATTCAAATGGCATGCATTCTAATTCAATAATTTCTCCATGAACGTGTCATTTTGGCGCAGTAAGTGTAAATGATTAAAAAATCATTATTTGCAACCTTTTCAGCACATTTTCATAAATATCTTGGCATCAAATAGTTTTATTTTTAGGGATGAAAGATATATCAAATCAATTTTGAATCTCTCATCTCACCGACCCACGACGGTACAATTTTCGTAAAATTAAGATTGGTAGTTCTCAATCAAGATAATTGCTTCCGTAACTTTTCTTTTATTTTTTAATAATGATCATTATGTTCGCGTTTATAAATTACTTACTTGCAGTTACTGCCTGGCAGAATCACCACTTGTTAGAGTGAGAAATGTTCGGGTCGAATTTTTCTATTAAAAATAAGAAAGAAATTGATGAAAGAACTAAATATATATATAAGTAGTGCTCCGAGCCGGTCGAGTCGACCCGGGTTGATCGACCCGACTCGAATTTTTTCTCGAGTCGGGTTTATCATTT